CGAAAAGAAAGATCTGCTAAATTAACCAATAGAATTTAAGATTTGTAGGTTATTCTCCACTCTCTCTCTCTTATACGTGTGCACCCGTGTTAGTGCACAAGTAAAAAACATTTTAAACGTAATACTAATTGTTTTATTATTCTATTATTTATTGTATTAGTAAAAATAGAAGAAAATAGCTAACTTGATTGTTTAAATATATAGAAACGTTGAAGTAACCGTTTTCCTTTTTCTTTTTTCTTAACAATGTATTTCCTCTAAGAATGTGATTAAAATAATACAAGGTAAATTTGTTACTATGACGACCATAACAACTAAAACAATTTAACATGAATAAATGAACTTCAGAAAATGAAAATAATTTATTAGCTCACTAAAAGTCAGTTTGTGCATTGTGCTTGAAAATTATTCTTTTTGCTTATTAGATTGTTTGTAGTTGTTTTCTCAATCATATATATATACCCTTGTAGGCCTGGGTAATTTTACATTGGTTTTCAGGAGAACCAGACACCATTCAGACTTTCATATGGGAACTGAAACAGTACAGCCTAATCCCGCTTTACAGGAGAGCCAGACACCGCCCAGGCTTAAAATTTGTCGCTTAAACGTTATAACCCGAGCAGTACAGCTCAATCTCGCTTCACAGGAGAGCCAGACACCATATAGGCTTTAACGGTACAATCTGAATAGTACAGCTCAATCCTGTGGTGAAACCACACAAGTACCAAGCACCCTGGTGGACCATCAATCATTTATGTGTTATATTAAATGTTTCAAACATACTGAGTTTATATCCCAATCAAACAGACCACAACGCACCATAAAATAGAAAATAACATTTGTAAAATATTTGACCAAATGTGGCTGTGAACGTGGGAGGTAGTGATTAATAGACAGGGCATAATTCAAGAATGGTGAAACGTATTATAATAGCTCATAGGTCAAAATAAAGTACATAATAAGAGGGACATGAATCTGAACAGTTTATTTATTTAACAACTATACGATAAAAGTGTACACATAATATTGACCCATAATTGGGTCCCAAAGTTACCATTCATTATGCTTATCAGGAAACAACACGATTCAAACACCTAATACATATGAATTAAAATTTATCCCATTGCACAACTCAGTCAATATTCAGACTCAGTAGCTAAATGGATAACGCCATGGCGGTTAAGGTCAACGATATTGGATTTTAGTCCTGGAATAAGCATCAATTGTGGGATGCATGTATATTCAGCTGAAAAGTCCTGGATCCTACTACTAGCCAACATCCATCTCTCCTTAAATATGACAAAATAAAATTTCATTATAAAATCAAATTTCATTATTAACAACATTTGGAGAACTACTAAAAACTATGAAGCTGTCTATTGTCAGTTTGTGTGGAAAATCATCTTCAATAGAAACAATCTTAGCAGAACTCATTATCTCAATAACTTTTTACTGTCCTCTCACTCTCTGTTGAGAGAGCTCTCTTCCTCTTGATGACTTTTTATAACTTTAGTCTACAATGAAAACTTTCTCTAGACATTAGACAGTTATAAAAAAAATTATTTAATTCGATTCCTTTTATTTCTGTAGGTGGCCATCTATGTCGACCCACTTCCCTGACAATACAACTAATAATTTCTCTAAAAGACGGGAACAAATTTATGTAGAAGAAAAAAGAAATGATAATGTTTTTATAAGAATTAGGAAAGCAATAGCAAAATATCATATCTTAGGAATGAACTTGATGTGTTTCAACGTCTACACCTAAACACAGAGAAAGAGTATGTGTGTAATAGAGTTAATTAGAAGGAAATGAAAAATTTCAAAATATTTGAAATAAAGTAGGTAATGAACATAAATAGCATTATTGAGAAAAAGTAATTTAGAGGATATAGGATATTCTCACTATAAAATAGTGACATTTACATGTTTAGATAGTAATGGTATTCATAAATGGGAATTTTATTATTTATTATTATTATTATTATCAGATTTATTCAATATTATATTTTTGGTACAATATAGAATTCTCAGCGTAAAGTATTTCAACAAGTTTCCGTTTCTTTCTTCTTGGTCGATAAATATCGAGTGATCGCCAGTTAGATGTTAGCAGTTCAGTAAATGAACATTTGAATAATGTGCATTCTTTTCGTTGTATATTACCAGCAACCACATTGTTACAAAAAACTAAATAAGTTTTTTGTAACTTTGACAACAAAAGGTTGTATACTTTTCAGAAACGCAGCAGAATAGGTTATGCGATTAAAAGACATAATGATATATTAAAACAAACAAAAATAGATAACTTGTTGAAATATCTAGATGGCAAGAACAGGTAGCCCAGATGCTCAAGCAGGCCGCCCATTAATAATGTGGTGTGTGCTACTGATGCCCACAGATATAAGTAGTATGTGTCACCAATCGAAAGTGAAATGCATGAAGGCAGAAAGTTAATAAGATCGAATAGAAGAGGACGAGAACAGAGAGTGATTGGTATGGAAACGAAGGAACAATCAAGTGTAAGACAATTGACTGATATTTTGCAAATGAAATATTTACTGTATGGTTCTTAGATTTCACTAAGAGATGCTGTAACTGCGTGTTCTGAGTCATTTGGTTGTCCCAACTAGTGTTTTCGTTCACTGCAGTAGTAATAGTAGTAGTAGTATTGATTTTTAATTATTCTTCTTGCTGCCTATATTAATTAACATAACTCTAGAACATTGTGATTGTTTTTTCTTTGGTTTATTAGACGTCCTCTGGTTCGTGTTTTCCTCTGGCTTTTGTATCTGCTATTGTGCATTTTCAATGGATTGTTAGCTTCTCTTGTCTTTTAAGTGAACGAATGAATTTTAACGTAGTTTATTTCATATATACTAATGAATGATGAAAAAGTCTATTTCTCTTGAGTTCTTTATCAAACAATAATCCAAGAAATGTTTGTCCAAATCACTAGGAAGCTATGAACGATAGTAAGAAAAGTTTAGAATTAATAGAAGTTGTGATATACAAATAGATTAAGAGTTTTTTTTGTAAAATAATCATGATAAATGAGAACAAAGTTTTAATGTTGAAATATATGACGATATTAAGTGATTGTAGGCATCTTAATTGACAGATCTGAAATACTGAATGAGATGGTGTTCTCTTTGATATTTGAACGTAAATCACCCAGTATCACAGTCAAAGATTTTACTATTGAGTTATCCTTGCTGTTAACGGTCTCCTATACGACCAAATGTTTGGCACATATAATAACCACTTAATTGTATTAAAAGCTGTGTTTTAATGGAATTGAACTGTAGCTAGAAGAGTTATTCAGGATATACGCTCTATTCGGTCCTATACTTATCAGCTAGATATTTTCGCATTTCTTGTATTGATGATCATACAGTGCTTCTCAAACTCAGAATGTATCACTACAAATGTCAACTATGCTACTGAGTTCAGATAGCCACTAATTTGTACAACACGAGGGCAATATGTTCAGAATGCAGATATCAACAACGAGAAGTATAATCTTTGGTAAATTTCATGTCGTTTAGTCTTTATATTGATCAAATTCTATTGGTCAATACCCTATTCACATAATGAATGGATCCATTTAGGACTGAATCATTTATGTTGATTGACTACTGAAGAACAGCCAAAGTTTCTAAAATACTAATAAAGTGATTAACCTTGATCAATAAACGACATACATGATCAATAGAATCCAAACAGATTGGAAGTAAAACATCTTAACATTACTTTCTGGGGAAAGACTTTTTGATCTAGAGGATCGGGATGATATCGTCTTCATGTGTGGTGATCAACATGTTACCAAATCCATTTTCAGTCCGTTGATGATCGCCATTCACAAGTATGGTATGTATTCTGAACTATCAAGATGTTCACCACTTCTACAAGATTAGCACTAGCCTTCACTAAACTTTAATATTGACTATCAGCATACGATTAGAATTTTTACTTATCTCAATAGTTATATGGGTTTTTGTGCCTAAAATGAAACTGATTTATACATAGTGAAGGCCAGCGTCTCTCAAACTAAGTTTCTACAGCTTTTAAACCGTCACAACATCAGTTAGTATAGGAAATTATCCAGTGTACATCATAATGAGGATGGTCCTGCTCTGACATCTCCTAGCTTATTATATTTAGCAATTTCAGTGTATGATCAATGGTGGTTCTGCTCTCATTCTGTCAAAAAGTAGAAGCAAGCCCAAGATCCAACAACGTGAGAATTCCCGTGAATAAATATGCTTTATGTTTACTGTTTGTAGAAATCATCTAGAATAATATACGTTTCACTACTTATTACCAAGTTTTGTTGAATTTTGAAAGAAAAAAACACAACTTATAAGATGACCAATAAGAAAAAAAGACTTGACAGTGATAACTGGTTTCAAACATCCAACACTACATAACTGACATTATATAAGTAATTTACACCAGTTGGTAATTTGTCATTAGCATTAGTTATGAATAAGAACGTAAACTGATATATGCTACAATCTGACAGTAGGAATAAGTTCTAAGTAAGAATAGAGTCGATATCATAAACTGATTGAAGTTAAAATATTTCACTCGGATAGTACAACTGTAGTACACTTCAATTTCAAGTTTAAACATTATTGAAGAAATTATAACCAATATAAAGCATTTATTCTGTGTTAGATATCAATCAAACAGTTATATGTCAAAACAAAAAGTGATATCTAAATCTAAAGTTGATTGAAATAAACAACTTAACGGTAGGCATTACACATCTCAGTTGTTCAGGTTAGTCCACTTAGAAAACTTGTTGATTTCACTTAATGATACTATTATCCCTTTCATTACTGTTTAAGATACAAGAGAAATGTGAATTTTTTTTCTTGATTTTTTTCCATCATTTCAGTATTTTTATGGCTATTTAACCTTGACTATTTTTGTGACTGACGTTCCCATGTCGCCCCAGCAAATCTAAATATTGTGTTATTTTCTTATATAAAACTAAGGTTCAGTCAAATACCCAAGATGATTATGATGACGATTATGAAAGTGATGACGAGGATGAGAACGCTGAAGAGGAAAAACTACATGTTCCATTGACAGTCAGTGTTATTGTCCTATCTATATATACATTAATTGGTGCTGTGATATTTCCAGCATGGGAAGATTGGTCAACAGCTAATGCTGCTTACTTCTCATTTATTACAATATCAACAATTGGATTCGGTGATTTAGTTCCAGGGAATGGAAGATTCACTGAGGTAAATTCATTTATACATCTTACGACCTTTTTTTGTTAAAAGAGAGAAAAAGAAACAAAGTACAGTCGTATAACCGGTGTTGCATTTTAATGTAAATCCATGGCTAAATCATTATATAAAGAAATTTTGAATATTTTTACGTTGTAAAATATTCTCTTAGTTATACTGATGATAACCTAATTTTTTAAAAGGTGCCGATGTGTATTCAGACGATTATCGAGAAAGCGACTAGCGATATAGGTTGAGTGATTACTGTCTATAATTTATTGAGACCATGACGTTGATCACACCATCTACTCAAATCTTGATACATTAGTACCAGATAATGTTAGTACAACAACTATCATGGTTTCTCCATCGGGTTCTATTTAGTTTTATAAATGTTTGCAGAAAAGTTGAAACAGCTATCTAGTTTTCTTTCCGTATCTTTAATAATTCCCTAAATGAAATCAGTTTGTAATCAAATTTTCACAAAGCTACCTCGGTAAACATGATTTTTAAGAAATAGCAAATGTACATAAATCTTTATAGTTGGTGTAAACTCAACTATATTTACAGTAATTTTGTCGTATACATTTCATTTTTGTAAAGCAATGATGAATTACATCGTGTTACATCTACTTAAATATTTATATTTTTATCAATGGTATTTAGTAGTAAGGAATCAAGATATCTCTTCCTCTGAACTAATCAACTAAATGTATTCGTAATCCGACTGTTTATATCAATAAAACAAATAGTTTAGCTAGGAAAAATTTCTATTTTTAACGATTTCATTTATATAAAACAGTTGCTGTTATGAGTAAATTGGATATGTTAGTGTATGCATATGTATAATGGTTGGAATTTATAGACTACAGTTTATATTAATGGATAAAATGGAATAATGAATATATCAGCAGACTGATAATTATTGGATGTTTATATGGTTACAGTTAACATGTTACGGAACAATTTTATAATTCTGTAATGTCCTTTATTGAACGATGCTAGGAGGTGCTTTCCTAAGCATCGAGAAACATGTCTTAAAAATACATCATGTACCAAGCTCTTCGAAATCCGATGAACAAATATACATTCGCATAGACTTGGTCATTCACGATAGCTCATGCTTGTGTACCAGTAACTTGGTAGCTTAGGCCATTTGTATCGACGCTACATAAAATGTATTAGATTTGAAGTCGCCTGGTGGAACAGTTTTCGAAAACTCCATCCAACTTATAAAACCGGTCAGTTTATATACTTCACCAAATGTGTGTTAATGCAACAATTTTGTCATGGTTACTGGAATCGAAATTAACTAGGATACAATACCTGTCTAATCCCACTTGATTTTTAATGGTACCCCTCTCCACAGTTAGAGTCAATCATCGACAAAAATCAACATAAAACTCTATACTAAATCATATTGTATAGTTTAATTGAAAACAAACTATTATTTATTTTCTGTAGTTATATATATCATATCATATCATATATTTACTAATAAATCCCCATTTATTTATCTGAAAATAAAACAAACAAACGATACAAAAACAATGAAACATTTCTTTGTAGCCTAAAACTGCAACTGAACTACTTGTTGGTGGTTTATATTTACTATTTGGATTAGCTTTATTATCAATGTGTTTAAATTTAATGAAAGATGAAATTATCGCCAAAGTTCATTATATTTGTACTTGTATTGGTTTGAAAAACAATATAGCACACAATGATGGTGATGAAAATCATTTAAACAATATTAATCAACAATTATTTAATCAACTTGTAAAACAAAAAGAATCATCTACAATCATAACACATAATAATAAAAATAATGAACAGCTGAACAAAGAAACAACACAATTAATAACCACAACAAGAAAGACCGAACAATCTGATAATTATCAAACAAAGGAATATGATAATGAAGCATTTCAGAAAGACAGATAAGTCAGCTTTTTAAATAAAAAATTTTAAAAAGTAACTAAACAAGTGGGTAAAGAAGTTTATTCAGTGATTTCCTTATTTTTATCAGGGAAAATCTAATCATATGCTATTTGAAAAATAAACCCTATTGACCGATACATATTTAAACAAACTATATACATGATAACAAGTTCTCTTTATGAATTGATTACTGTTAATTGTTGTTTTGGCTTTACTCACATTCGCAAAGAAAGAAAAGATTGTGTGAAAACGCTACGTACAAACATAATATTATTTTTCTTCAATGTTTTTTTACAGATTAATCATGAAAGTGTTGTTGTTATCGTCTAAAGTTATTTTGTCGCATGCTTCAGTTTTGTGTTTGTTTCCATATATATATATATATATATATATATATATATATATATATATATATATATATATATATATATATATATATATATATATATATATCATGCCTGTCTCCATTTCTCGGCGTAATGTGTTCTTTAGTCTTCCTCTTTCTCTTCGACCCTGAGGACTTGACTTGTGACATAGTTGGGTGCTTTCCTCAATGTGTGTCCTACCCACTTCCTGATGTTTCCCTCTGTTTAAATCTGGTTTGCTCTCTCCCACAGTAGGTTGTTGCTGATAACGTCTGGCCAACGGACCCGAAGTATTTCGCGTAGACAACTGTTAATAAATACCTGTATCTTCTGGATGATGGCTTTCGTGGTTCTCCAGGTTTCCGCCCCATACAGTAGAACTGTCTTGACATTTGTATTGAAAATTCTGACCTTGGCATTGGTTGACAGACAGTTGTTTTGAGTTCCAGATGTTCTTCAGCTGTAGATATGCTGCTCTTGCTTTGTCGATCCGCGTCTTCACATCTGCATCGGATCCACTGTGTTCGTCTGATACTGCCCAGATGTGTAAAGGATCTTACATCATTCAAAGCTTCTCCATCAAGTGTGATTCGATTGGTGCATGCGGTGTTGTATCGGACAATCTTGCTTTTCTCTTTGTGTGTTGAGACCTACTGCTGCTGCTACTCTGGTCGTCTTCTGCATTTGTTGTTGCGTGTGCGATAGGAGAGTCAGATCATCTGCGAAGTTGAGATTTTCCAGCTGCATCGTAGATGTCCACTTTATCTCACGCTTCCCCTCAGATGTTGACGTCTTCATGATCCAGTCAATCACAAGGAGAAAGGGTGAGAGTAAGCAACCTTGTTTGACACCGGTCTGTACTTCGAACGAGTTTGTCAACTGTCCTCCATGCACGATTTCGCAGTCTAATCTATCATAGGAATTCCGTATGATATTGACTATCTTCTCAGTTACGCCGTAGTGTCGAAGAAGCTTCCATAGTGTTGTTTGAGTACAGTACAGTATATTGATGAAAATGAGAATCTCCTACCGTATAATGGCAGTACGTAGCTCTTTCATAAGTTCTGATGGCTCTTTATAACGCTTCAAGTGATTGGAACGCTATAAGATACAATTTATTCAAGAATACATTATCTGTTTCTGTGACAACGTGAGAAACTATAGAGCTTGTAATCTGTACGTTACTATCGACCATAATTTGAAGAAAAGGTGCTCTGTCTACAAGTACCGATATATTATATCAGTTTAAAAAATAAACAACCAATAACGAATTAAAAACTAGCCATTTAATTGGACGAAACGGAATTTTTTTTAAAAGGGGTGAAAAAAATACAAAAACTGCCGTGCGTTTAATGCTATTCAAAATTCATCCTTAACATCAAATCATGCAATAACATGTAATTATGATTGGGAATTTCAAAGATGTTTACGTGTTTACGAATAGATGGAATACAAAGTTGGGTTTTTTTTTAACTATGACAATGAAACATAAACTGGATATCATTCATACTACTTCGTCCTAATCAATTATAAAATTCAAGAAATTGTTGTGTATAATGTCTACACATCATAATACTATTATGTACCACGTGGTGGCTACTCTAAATTCTACCGATTGACCAACTCCAGATAACCCAGTACGACCCCAATACTGTTCCCCAGTCTCCAATATATCAGAACACGAACCGTTAGAACAAAATTGTTTATGGGATCAGGAGAAGAAGAATAATACTTTACAGAGAAATGCATATTTATACAGTTAGGACTACCGTGAATATTGACCGATACGAAAATTTTCACAGATTGAAATCATGAGTCAGTTGAAGCTAGACCACCATGGAAAACCTGGAAGCACTGGACGGCCGTTTCGTCCTAGTATGGGACTCCTCAGCAGTGCGCATCCACGATCCCGCACCCAGGACTCACTGGCTTCGCGCGCGAGCTGGTCGGCGTAATTAAGTACTGAACTCAAAGATGAACTACTGGATATTTAAATTTTCCAGGGACATTAATAATATGCACTATGAAGCAGGATATTCAGGCTTAGAGAATAGTAATCATCGATTTGAATAGTACGAATGGGTCATACACATTCAAATATGATAATCGTAGGCGTTTATTTGCATTCTACTAGTTAAGCATGTGATTAGTTAATAATCATTCTCAATAGAATGTAATGATAAGCTTTGATGACTTACATAAATGATTTTTGAGAAACTCGTAAATTTAGTTTGCAGAATGTACTAAGGCTACAATTATAATTAGAATTTAACGCAAACCATTTATCAATCAAATGGCTTATGTACTCGAAATCGAAGTAAACAAGGTGGTATTTGAACCTTATACTTGAAAGCTAAATGCTTCAATTATTTAACCGTCAGTCCTATAATAAACCAAATGTTTCTGTATAATTAAATAACTGTAAAAGTATTGATGCCACCCTCTCATCCACGACAATCTCTAGTGTCGGTACTTACGTATTTGTGAACTAATCACTTATCGAAAGATCACAAAACACTTTCGTAAGGAATAATATAGGCAAAGTTAAACAAACCAACAAAATTAAAATTCTTTACAAATATAAATACATAAGCTAAATTACAAAATGTTTCCTTAAATATATTTTAATTATTAAACAAAATATATGTGATACATATCATGTCAGCAATGTTTATTCTTGTTCTTTATTTAACATTAATATGAATTTATCAAAGTATTCCGTGAGCAGAGTCTTTTGAGCTCTCCATTGCACAGCTGGCATTTGTGTGATATCTCCAATCGTCTTTTCAAAGTGTAAATATAATAACCAGAATTCTGTGAATTTTGAGAATAAAAACGATAATAAATTTAAAGTAAATATGTAGTGCTATGAGAAATATTATTTGTAATTGAAGCAATTTTTATTAATTGTTTGAATTACATAATTCATGTTATTAAGAGTAATTTGAGAAACTAAGTCGACTGGTTTTGAATTACAGATTAGATAGATGACAATAAATTAACTCATTTGCCTGTACAGTAACGATAGAACAGAGAAAAGATTTTTATTTTTATTATCATTTTGGTGTCAGATGTTTGAAAGCAATTACAATTAACCATAGACAGATTTGATCTTTGTTGACACTCACACTAAATAGGCATGTTTGCAATCTTGAGAGAGATGTCCCCTCTAAAACTCAAACGTATGTCACAGTTAAAAATGTTGCCACAGAGCTATTTGGACAGAGAATAACCATTTGTAGGACTGACATATGCATATCGCAGTACGCCCCTTTAGTTTTAATTAACATCATTGTTTTTAATCCTAAAAGTTGACCAAATTCTGTCATTCAGGCTGACGTGCAAACCTCTCATTAAGGTTAGTCAGCATGCGGTTTATCATATTTGCATGTTCAACGACTCGAAGGAATCTACAGAAAACATTTTCTCAGTTGAATTAAAACGTTCACTTAAGAAAAATAAAGCAAACATGTGAACCTTTTCTGATTATATAATCAATGGATGCTTACAGACAGTCGTTTAAACGACTCATTTGATAGGGTACTGAATAGAAAACTACAATAACAAACATGGCATTAGAGCTAACTATAATACTGAGATTACAGAAACTTCATCATCCCAGTAAAATTTTAATGTTTTAATATAAACATAACATTTTCATAGTCTTGAAGGTAAACAGTAAATTATTATCATCATCTTCATTCCCAATGTTAAAAGTTCTCGCATATAATGTACCCACTGCAAATTTTCGTACTTAACCAGTAAGTTTTTGATTTAACCGGATAAATAGCAAAACAACCCGGATGGTAAATAACTTCGTCGAATATTTATAGTGTTGGTTGTAGAAGTTATAATTTCGTTTGTTATTGATATTCAAAACTGAGATAATAAGTGCTTCGTCAGTCGGTTAGTCGTACACAACGTAGAACCTAGTACATGTGAATATCGGTTCAAGTCGTCACACCCTACCAGCACAGTAAAATGAAAGTTTCAGGCTAAATCGCGGTGTAGTAAAAATAGTAACAGGATTAAGAGTAACAGAAAAGATAAGACATCGAAGGTACAACAAGAAAGGAAAACACAAATTACTAAAATAAGAAAAATATTAGGGATTTAGAAACTCAGGATCTAAGGGAAGATAAAGAGTGAATGCACCTGTGCTATCAAGATATGTCATTCAAAGTCTCTAACCACTGGTTAAAATAATCACGTAGACCCCAACCAGGTCGTCTGCATCCATCTCTATATGGTTCAGTTTAATAGTCAATATTTTCATGGACCGATGCCGTGTACGTGGTTTTTCACTCCTAGCTTCCTTCCAACATACTCCTACATCATCCAGAATCATGTGTCGAGGTAGTCGGTGGATGAACAAACATAATATATGTTCCAAACATCTCACCCGAAAAGGTTTCACTACCTCGTCAGTCAATTCACAATACCCATCTAGTATTCTGCGTCGAACCTTAGAATTGTTAACTCAGTTGTCCCAAAGTATACGAGCAATCGTTCAAAGGCACCTTCGATCGAATATTGGGAACCTACTAACATCCTCTATTTTTAAAGGTCATATTTCACAACCGTAAAGTAGAACAGCAAATTTCTGTGCAGTATACTCGCCCTTCTGTTGACAAACGGATATCTCATGTACACCACAAGTGACGTGAAATGACAATAGTCAAATGACCTTTCTAAATTCCTACAGAGATTTCGTCTGACATCAATCTACCAAAGATCATGAGACTACCAAAATAAGTGGAGTGGTCAACACACTCAATTATTTCACTCCCTACCCCAAGTCCAGGCATTGACCCAAACCGGTCTAGAAGTAACATTTTTCATTTGGATGGAGAGAAAAGAAGCCCAAACATCTAAGCACTGTTCCATAAGGTGGTTAGAAGACTGCATTTTTTCGGCACATTCACCAAAAAGCAAACCATATCAACTGTTTATTCGAAGTCAGTAAGTATATCTCTTGGCAAAATATTGATTCCTAATAAG